TAAGACAGGCTCCAAACAAACCAAGTGCCGATAGCTGTAGATCCAACTAGTCCTGACTCTATCATAGGCACTGCAGCTTCGGTTTCTGGACAAGGGAAGTGACTTTATTGTGGGATGTACATGGGAAAGACTGGGCGAAATGCCAGGGAGCCCAGCGCTGACAGGTCAGCGCTAGTTCCTGCTCACCCGGTGCTGTGGCCTCTTTCGGCCTTCATGTGTTCTTTTCCCTTTCAGTGTCCAGTTTAACACTTTGAGGTAGGATGTCATGTTACTTTCTGCTGGTAGTCCTTTTTATCTCTGGACCATATGGATAGTGAAGGTCCTGCCCGTTTTCTTCTCTCTCCCTACCTGCTGCAATCCAGCATAATTCGGTGGGCCATGGCAAGATTTTCCCTGGAAAAGTCAGTTCTGTTGAAACCTTATTCCGGTTTGGGTGATGTGATAGCCAATACGAAGGAGGCCTGGTGACTAGGGCAATCTTCTCTTCCTTCCCTTTGGGGCTTTCTGGTAACTTCAGCCTCTTCCTCATGCTCTTGGAATGCAGTTTTGGTGTTATCCTTGGCTCTCCTCGGGGCTGCTCCTCAAGCGCTTGTGGAGAGAGGACTTGTATTTCTTTTCTACAGAATAAGCTTTATTTTTCACTTTGAGGATATTCCGAAGTCCTGTCATATTTTCCTTTCTGACATCTCTAAGACTCATCTTTCCCCATTGGTCTCCAGAAACCAAAATCTTTTCCTCTCTTTTGGCTCCTGTAGCTCTGCCCCTTATAAATACCCCCGCTGTGGTCTGCGATCTTGCGTTCCGCCTCTGCTAAAGCAATCTCCGAGGAGTCCTCCTGACACCGCGCCTTCAGCCGCCTTTGCTGCTCCCTGCGTTGACTCTGACTTCAGCTTACGTTACTGTTCGCTGCCTGCTTATTTTTTCCCCTGCTGACTTCCCACATTTCGCCCTAATTTCTTAATACCTGACCTCCTCCTATGTGTTCTTGTAGTTCCTCTCTTTCCCACTTGCTTTTCTAGGCAGTTTGAAAGCTGTCTCCTCCCGAGCCAGGAACATTTTCTTTCCTTTCTGTATGCCGAGACAAGCTCCACACACATTCTGCCCTGCATCCTCCCTGCTTCTCTCGCCCTCTTTCTCACTTAGGTTAACTGCCCTCTCTTCAAGATCACAGTCAATCTTCCTAAAGTCAGGTGATATTCTAGACACGCGAAAGAGAACACGTGGCACTCTTCCGGACTTCATTTATAAAGCCTTCCTTTACTTGGGAAAATCTCTGCTATTGTTGACCATTGCATTCTGCTCTGGCCATCCCTGCTCACAACAGCAGCTGCCTCGGGCTTGCTTCTTATCTCTCTTTCAGCCTTCTTTTCTAGCTGTTTGCCTTCAAGGCTTTGCCAGAGAAACCTCCCAATCTGATCCATTTTCCTTTTTTAACAAAACAAAGCAACCAGGCCTCTGGCTTTCCCTGACTTGAAGAAGACAGAACCCTCAAGTCCTTCCAAACCCCTTCCATTCTTGACTTATTTTTCTCACATATATATATATGTATATATATATATAATCTTCTTATATTATCTTATATCTTACATCTCAGCTACACAGAATGGATGGAGGTATTGGCTGCAACAGGCCAAATTCAATTTTCACAATTTTTTGTTATCTTTTAAAAAGCAAATTTAAAAAACTGTAAAAATTTTGCTTACTGGCTTCAGCTCAGCAACTATGGTAGAGCTGCTGCCTGCACGTTTTTAAAGCAGGGGTGGTAGTGTTCCATAGCGTGAACTCTCTCCAAACTTCCAAAGCTTCTGTGTCCTTTAGCATCACCAACAGTGAGATAAAATGTCACTTTCTGTTTATCACCACTTTATGCTTCGTGTTTTAAGAGAGATTTTGAGCTCGGCACAGTGCTAGGCTTCCATGATCTAAGCACTCAGGAAGCAGAGGCCAGTGGATTGTGAATTTGGGATCAGCCCGGGCTAGAGAGGAAAGTTCAGGCAAGAGTGAAATACAGAGTAAGATTTCTTCCCTAAAACATAACAGAAATAAAACAAACAAACCAACAAAGCAACAGAGGGTGTGGGGGGTTATACTACTTTTCTATAGATAAATAAGACATGGCTGGTGTTCTTTTATACATAAAGAAGCATTTGAGCAGGAGGGGGAGACGTTATTCTTCTATTACCCTCTCTGGAGGCATCCCAGTTTGGATATCTAAGTGGTTTGGCATTGAGAATCTCTGTTCCAATCCTGGTTTCATCCATTTTAGTCGTGCAGTTTTGGAGAAACTACTTAACCACTCTCTGCCTCAGTTTCCACGTAAGTAAACTGGAGAGAGTGAGCACGCAGCAGGGTTTTGGTAAGGATTGTATGAGATAATCTGTGCAGAGAATGTGCGGTTGGAACAAGCATGGTGAGTGTTGTTGCTGTTACTAGTTTGTTTCCAGATCTAATAGTGGAAAGGTCAGATCCATGAGGCATGATTTGGAGAAGAGGGGAGAAGAGGGCCTTTCGTTTCCTAGCTGCATCTTCCCAGACAATTTAACATCACTAAGCTTCCACTTGGGGATGTTTAACATCTTAGTAGTAGCAACAGCACAATAAGATCAGCCACCCACATCTTTGGTCTTCAGCTATCATCTGACACGACATAGCACAGTGACAAATTTGTACTCTGTGTCTTGAGTACTGGTCACTTACTAAGTATCTGATACATAAGTGGTCTTGATGTTACCACTCAGCTTTCCTGCCCCTTGCCAAGAGGATGCCATCTGAGAGTCATACAGACCCAGGGATCTGGATAACCCATTTGCACGTGATATGTGGCACCCAGACTTCTTTATGGATTTTTAAATAATTGAGATATGACTAGAAAGCTTTAAAATTCACTGTTCAAGTGTGAGGTCCAAATGGCTGCCTGTAACTGGCTGCAGAAGCTCCATATAGGAGACAGGAGAAACACAGGTTCCAGGCTTTGGCTCAGGCTCATGGAATCACAGTCTCAGGCTTGGTGGCTTAGGATTTACAGATTTACAAAAGAGATTCTGCCTGTCAGGGACTGGGAAATTGTTGTTGTATTGAATATGTTTATACGACATTAATCCGTGTTTCTCATCAACAGCATTGCTCTGTAGTGCTATCCCCCCACCCCAACTGTGGTATATGCATGCATGTGTGTGGATGTATGCACATGGAGGTGGGAGAGTCTGGAGGCTAGGACTTTGTGTTGGCTACTTTCTACTCTTCCTCTTATTTTTGAGAGAATCTCCTTGACCCTGGATCTCATAGATTCAGCAAGGCTGGCTCAAGTCCACCTCTGCCTCTGCAGCCCCGGGATTATACATGTCCCACCGTGCCTGGCTTTGGAATGAATCTGGGGCTCTGAACTCAGGTCTCTATGCTTACTCAAAAAGCCCTCTACCAACTAAGTCATTCTTCAGCCCTCAAATACCCCTTTCCAAGCGTTTGGGTGTGATCTTCCTTCTCCTCTTTGCCTCCTGCATAGCATTGTGGAGGAAAGAGCCCAGGGACTTGGACTAGGGGGTCACTGAGCTACATAGCCTTAGTCTTAGCAGATTTTACAACAGAGGGCATTTTCTTTGTCCATCTTAGTGTCCACCCCTGCAAATGATCATACATAAAGCTGGGACTTAGCGCAGGATGGAAGACTAGTTTACATAGTCTTGTGGTATTTGGGCTCAGATGATTCCCCTAGAACATCTTCACAGAGATCTTCTGGCTCTCACTATAGGATGGTCCCTTCACACAGAATACCAGAGTCTCCCGGAACTTATAAGCATGCGGATTCTCATGCCAGGTCACAGATACACCAGACCAGGCTGTTGTCCAGGAAAGGAAAATTAATAGCCAGATAACACCAATATGCTGCTCTGGACTGAAAAGGATTCTCTCTCTCTCTCTCTCTCTCTCTCTCTCTCTCTCTCTCTCTCTCTCTCTCTCCTCTCTCTCTCTCTCTCTCTCTCTCCAATAAAAGCTGTGTGGTGCTCTTGAGAGTTAACTTGTGCCTTACTGTGAGCTGGTGTTTGGAAGATCTTGGTTTAGCTGTGGTCTCACCTTTTAGTCAGCCCCTGGTAAAGCTGATTAAGCCATTACCCTCTAGCTCACTGTTTTTAAATTGAGCTATCTCACTAGGGGAAACTCTGGCAATGTAAGTTTCTCTCTAGACATCAGTTCTTCAGGAGCCACCTCTTCTATGTGCCTTAGAAGAAGGACCTTTTCTCAGACTAGTCTTGGCTGCTGTTCGGTTTCATTGTACATCTGATGAGATGAAACAAGAACGATGTCGAGACCCCCTGCTTTCCCTGCTCCTTTGTCTCTTCTTGTTTTTCTGAGATTCTGGTAATGTAGACTTTCATGGGTGGAAGTTCTGTTTACAAACTGTCAATATCTTATGGGAGACATAGTGTCACTGTCTTGGTTACTATCCGGTTGCTGGGAAGGGGCCCCATGCCCAAGGCAACTTACAAAAGAAACATTTACTTGGGAGCTTGTTTACAGCTTCAGAGGGTAGTAAAGCCCATGATCATCATAGTGCTGGCATCAGGCAGAAAGGCATGGTGCTGGAACAGTAGTGGAGAGCTATATCTTATCTACAAGTTGGAGGGAGGGAGGGAGGGAGCTTGCAGGAGCCCTAGGTTTTTGAAATTTCAAAGAGCACTCCCAGTGACAGTCTTCAACAAGGCCACACCCCCAATCCTTCCTAAAACAATTCCACCAATTGGAAAGCAAGCATGCAAATATTTGAGCATATGGGGGCCATTCTCATTCAAACCACCACATTCACCAATTGTTTTTTTCTTGAGGGGGGGTAAGGTTTTGATACAGGGTTTCTCTATGTAGCCCTGGCTCTCCTGGAACTCTCCTGTAGACCAGGCTAGCCTCAGAGTCACAGAGATCCACCAGGCTCTGCCTTCTGAGTTCTGGGATAAAATGCTATGCCACCGCAACTACCATCTGGCTTTATTTTGATTTTTTTGAGACAGAATCTATGTGGACCTGGTTGACCTGGAACTTGCTAAGAGACCAGGATGGCCTTGAATTTACAGTGATCTACCTGCCACTGTCTCCCGGTTGCTGAGATTAAAGGTGTGTGTTGCCATGATCCACAAACAATTGTTAATATAATAACACTGTAATATGAAAAATAAAGATCTTGTGACTGGAATACTTTCCACTTAACTGCATCACACTAGAGAAACTAGAGTGAAGGATTTAATGTAAGATGGGCTCTGGGTTCCTGGAACCCAGGGAATAGGTGGTCACATCAAGGGTTTGGTCATTTCCTCAATACCAAGGTGATGATGACACTGTAGTATAATGCCTTTGATGATATCGGTGGACAGTCTCTAAGGTAGAAACCCTTCACCTAGACTTTCCTTTCAGAGAGGATCACTCTGTCCTATTTTGCCAATGACTCTGGGAACTAATCTTACCAATTGCCCAGGAGTTAAACAAGACTTGGGTGAGTGTGCTTCTGACTTTTCATGGGATCTTCAATCGAAGTTTGTCCCTAAATATTATCATATGCTTAGCTCTTCACTGGTGTCTGATCAGTACTCTGTTTGGGTGAACTCCATGCAGCATTGCACGACGGTTTTGCACTGCTGGACTCTTTCCTCGATCTCCTATGTCCCTTTAATATAATAACTTATATTATAAAAAATATGCATGCAGATTCACTTGGACTTTATTGTATTTTTTTTAATTTTTTTTCTTGAACTCCAAAGTTGAGGAAGGAAGCAAGGCTATTTAGGTATATTTTCTGTGTTCCTCTAGCCTCTTCCATTGTCTGAAAAACCACAGACTTCACTTAAAAGGCAAAGACTTTTTCATCAGGTTTTGTTTAAGCCATGTATTTACCAAGATCCCCACTTGTTCTGTGGCTTAACTTTGTAATCTTTGATTTCTAATTTACAGCTGCTGAGAACCAGAAGGCGCCGGCTCCTTTGAAAGAGCCTTCCCCTAGATTGCTTTGCCACTGCTCTGGATCCCCTTGAACAGTGGTCCCTGAACACCGACTTCAAGAAGACTCCATGGATGGCTGTCCAGTCTTATCCACTGCAGTTTCCCCTCTGCATTTCCTTCTTCACTTCCTTCACCCCAGTGAGGCACGCAGTAGGGGCAGATCATAGATGAAGCAGCAGACAACAGGTTGAAGGACTGACCTCTGAGAGTGCCAACAGTCAACAGTGTGCTGTCAGATCCAGAGATAAGAAGAAAACGTGTTATGTGGAAGGGGGAGAACAGTCTGATAGTTCTTTAGAGGCTGAGAGTGAGGAACGGTCAAATTTGGGAGAATTACGGCAGGGCTCCTGTGTTGTCCCTACTGGGTTATGTAATCTGAGTGTTCCTGCTCGACTGTGATTGAGAGAGGCTGTATGTTCCCGTGGTCCTGCTCAGCGCTTGTCCTTTAATAAGAGACAACACCCATTAGTCTCTATATTGTTTCTCTGCACTTTTTATCTGGGAGACATTGACTATCTTGTAGGATAAAAGTCCATGGTAAGAAGAGTTCAAACCCTCATGAACTTTTTGTCTGTAGACCAGGTGGTGACATCATGTTTTGAGTTAATTAGAGCAACGGAATCACAGGGTGGGACTGAATTCATTGGAAATATTTGATTGAAACATGGCATTGCTAATTATGCATCAGAGAACATTATGGAACATGATTGGATTCATGAAGCACACACTCCTGGTCATATGTAGCAACCTAGCAACCAGCTAAATACAGCATAGACTCTTCAGAGACTAGGAGAGGTAGACATGGTTCTTTTCCCATGGAGCTTACACATTTGAAAAGCAGCCGCTATCACATGTGAGCTGCCGCAGAGATGTTCTTGAGCACAGGCCTCTAGTGGGGGAGGAGTTCCTAGTGCTGGAGTCGTCATGGTCACTGGCCAAGTACCTCTAAGCCTACATTTTATAACCAGTCTGTGAATGCAGACTGCTATTTTCTAGCAAAAGTCCAGGGATGGCAGGGGAAGTGCTTGAGATGTACAGGGCTTCTGGAGTGGGAAATATGAAATTATTTTTACCAGGAAAACAAAAAGGGATAGGATTCAGAACCAACTGTTGCTTCTATTCTATGGGGGAAACTACAGTATGAAATATGCTGGGCTGGGAAACTTCGACGCCTTGGTTTTAGTACCTTCTTTCCTTTTCTTCCTTCCTTCCCTTCTTCCTCCCTCCCTCCCTTCTTCCTCTCTCTCTCTCCCTTCTTCCTTCCTTCTTTCCTCCCTTCCCCTTCCTCCCTCCCTGCCTTCTTCCTTCCCTCTTTCCTTTCCTCCCTCCCTCCCTTCCCCCTCCCCTTCCTCCCTCCCTCTTTCTTTTCCTTTCCCTTCCCTCCCTCCCCTTTTCTTCCTCCCCCCTCTCTCTCTCCCTCCTTCCTTCCTGCCTTCCTTCCTTTTCTTCTTCCTTTTTCTTCCTCCTCCTCCTCCTCCTCCTCCTCCTCCTCCTCCTCCTCCTCCCCCTCTTCTTCTCCTCCTCCTCCTCTTCTTCTCCTCCTCCTCCTACAAAAAAGCCATGTGACTGTAAGCAAGCCATTTCCCATTCCCTGCAGATATCTCTTGAGAGGCTGTAAACCCCTTCTAGCTCAGAAAGTCTTAACATCAGGCCCTCAGGCTACAGTGGTCAGTTTCAAAACACCCTGCCCTCAGTTGCTGGATCATATATATTCAGCAGTTATATAAACCTTTTATTTTTTTGAGGGAATATCTGTTTTATCAATTTTTATTTTTGGTTTTCGAGGCAGGATTTCTCTGTAGCTTTGGAACCTGTCCTAAAACTAGCTCTTGTAGACCAGACTGGCCTTGAACTTACAGAAATCCTCCTGCCTTTGCCTCCTGAGTGCTGGGATTAAAGGCATGCGCCACCACCACCTGGCTTTGTTGTATCAGTTTTTAAGTACGTGTCAAGTTCTTTTCTGGAGTTAAGAGGATGCTAACTCTATGTCCTCCTTCATGTTGCCTGCTGCCTTTGCTCCTGTCCTTTGTTCCCATCCCCATGGAACTTATGCTCTGTATGTATGTATGTATGGTCAGGCGTGTATTGGCTTTGGAGGTACACGATGAACCTCACTTTTCCAGAGAGTCTTCCCTTTCCTTTTACCTTCTGACATTTTCTTTAGAGGGAACCAGTTGCAGTGTGCTGTGGCACCCCACCCTTGAGGTAACCACCTGCAAGCAAGTGCCTCATACTGACTAAGCAATTTTGTTGAACCCTAAGATTCATATCCAAGTAACCACTCAAATCCAGGGTTACCACAAAGAGAACTTTCTCCAGGTATAAGGAAGAGAAATCTTTTACTTCCAGGATATGTGCAGAAAGACCACCTTCCAGCCTGTGTAGAACAATCAATATGCTACTCCCTACAGGCCATCCTTGACCAGGTAGAGAGAATCTAAACCCAAAATACTTCTCCATAAATAGATAGACTTCCTACACACTGTATTTCTCTGTATCATCCCAATGGCTTGTCACTTCTCAAAAAAAAAAAAAATGGAAAAATGCTAATCAGACAAAAATGTTGCTGTGATCTCTGACCTCATTGGGAATCCTTTTAGCAATTTCTCATTTCTATTTCATTATCAACAAGTCCACTGAATACTTGTCTCTAAATCCAGGACATATTTTATGGATACATAAAACAATGAAATTTCATGTTCAGAGCTGTTGACATATACTATTTGTTTCGAATATTTTTATTGTAAGGAATGACTTAGCATTTCATTTTAATGACCTAAGTGGTAAAATGAATGACTCTTGACTTTCAATTTTCTTTTTCTGTTAAAGTCAAGTAATATGCACCTCTGGTAATGTCTATCTTTTTCTATGAATTATAGGCTCTAAATGTCTGTGTTGCCTTTCTTTTTTCTTTAAATTGCAACACAATTTTTTTTTAAAAAAATAGTTTATTTTTATTTTTTCTGCACTGGTGTTTTGCTTGTGTGTATATCTGTATGAGCATATAGGGTCCTCTTGAACTGGAGTTGTAGACAGTTGTGAGCTAACATGTGGATGCTAGGAATTGAACCCAAGTCCTCTGGAAGAGCAGTCAGTGCTCTTAACTGCTGAACCATCTCCCCAACCCCTTTATTGTGTTTCTTTATGTAGGTGTTTATCAGTACTAAGGATAATATTTGTTTTTTCTTCTTGTCTTTATTTTCTACCTAGCAGTTATATAAAAGACAGTATAAAATTTATGAAATAGACTTTTCTGATAGGAGTTAGAGAAATAAGGGGCCAAGATAAACAAAACAAATGAAAAAAACCAAGTTAAGTAACTATCAAACATTCAAATATCAGTTTTTAATCCATGTCTACTGTACCCTTTTTGTTTTGGTAATTTTTTAAATCTTTTTTAGTTTCTTCCTTTTTTAGTTTGTATATTTTGATTTTTGTTTTTGTTGTTGCCTTTCACTTCTTTTAAAAGAGAAATAACAGAAAGTTGGATGGGTAGGGAGGTGGGGGGATCTGGGTAGAGTTGAAAGTACATGATAAAAATATATTGTCTGAAAAAAAACTTAAAGTAAAAATGTTTGCATTTTCAGACAGAATCACAGGTATCCCAATCCTTGTGACAGAGGCTAGTTTTGAACTTTTGACTCTTCTGCCTTCATACATATTCAGAATAGCTGTCTGGGATTACAAGCATGTAACCTCATTTCCAGATATTTTAGTGTGGCAGTCCCCCTTTTATGTGGAAGCAGAATCAGTAAACCCATGTCATTCTAAGCATTCTAGTGAGGAGGACAGTGTGCTGAGCATTTTCATGCTTCCAAGGGTGAGTATTAGCTCTGTGAAGACGGAAGGAGAGATGACGCATTGCTCTTCCTACTTCTCATTTATGGTCTGCTGTGCTCTAGTTCCAGCCATTGACTGTAAGGCAGCTTAGATATATGTATTTTCTTTATCCTTCAAGAGAAAAGAAAAAATAAAACTCTTCTGCTTTAGGTAAGACGGAAAGAATGAGGAGTTATGGTTCCATGTATATAATTGCAAGTTTCATTTTTCTTAATTTAATGATTGACAGGAACTGATAAATCGGGACATCAGCTTTAGGAGGGTTGAATGCGCGCTCTTGGTGGCCCCGTTGCTAATTTGTTTGACTATTTTGCACGATTTCTTACTCTGTAATGGAAAGGTTTATTAAATATGAGGGTTACAAAGCTTTCTGAATACTAATGAACTTATTTGCCAAAATTTAAATGTTCTTCTTGTCAGTGAATGCCTGTCTCACTTAACAGGAACCAAATTGAATAATGAAGAAAATTAGACTCTATCAAACCTCAAGAGAAATTGTGTGTGAACTGTAATAGAAAACTGAGGGAGAAAAGGGTCATATTTTAGAAAAAACACTACATAATTTAGATTATTTTTAAAAAGGATGAACTTAGAGAAGCTCAGGTTTTTTCAAAGAAACACACATTCAGTCAATTAACTGAAAATACTAGTTTCCCCTTTACCAGCAGCCTGTACCTCTGCTGGTCTACAGGGAAAGGAGAGCGGAGCAGGTGGAACATGCACGCTGCTTTTCTGTGCTTACAATCCACTAAGCTTATTCTCCTATATGGACTTTTTGTACCTGTGATGGAAAGGAAAAACCAATAACCTTGAAAAATGAGCACTATTCTCCAGAGAAGTTCAATAAAGAGATAGATTTGGGAAATTGCTGCAATTCCTCCCATAAGCATAGCGTGATGAGTCTACCCTCTCACTGGTGTTTAATTCCGTCATCTTGGTGTACGGCTAACGAAGGACATGACCATCATGCTCTTCCTTTGCTAGCACTCGGGGGGGGGGGGGCACTGGGGGAACAACATGGTTGCCCTCTTGACTAGGGAGACAATGAAGGAAATTCAGCAACCATCCCAACCGCAAAGCATGGTGGAGTGAAATCACAGTTAAAGGGACGTGAATGACGATAGAAAGGTGGCAAGGAACAAAGATGGAAAATTGGACATTTTGTCTCTGGTGCAAATCTGAGAAAGGGACACGTTCACTGAAAAAGAATGAAGGAGCTAGGATCTTAAGGAAAAGAAAATAATCAAGAGGAAAATGATGAATGTCTCCAGTTTTAAGAGAAACTCCCTGAGGTTTAAAAAAAAAATAAAAAAAAATAAAGAGGAAGGAAAGACCCTCGGAAGCCGTGGTGTTTTTAAAACAAAATAAAACACGCAAAAATGAGAAGCTAAATGCAGTGCAAGGAAACAATGGACAAGAAAAAGCAGTGCTGAGTACAGAGAGGTTTGGATTTAGGGTTTGCTTTCAATCCAGAGGAAAGGGTTATAGCAGAAGCACATTTGCACATAATGCTGGACTTCATCTCCTAAGGAGAAAACAATGGTTAATTCATCTCAGTGTAATACTGTTTCACACTATTTTATCTTATGATCTTTTTCCTTTTCCTGCTCCTGATGAGACTTAAAAAAACTAGACTTTGATGGCTTCCGAGGGAGAGGGGGAAGGATTTTGATTTACAAATCTTAACCTCCCCAAATAATAATAATTGGATTCCAACAAGTAAGTAAACGAACAAGGAGAAGAGATTTATCTTTACCACTTCAACTCCTGGCCTGGTCCGATGGAAGTAAAGAATTTAGTAAGAAGGGACGGAAGCAGAGAAACAAGACAATGGAGCAGACCAGAAGGCCGCACACCGAGTAAGATGGCCGGATTTGTGAGAAAATCCAATGAACAATTGGATTTGAAGGATGTGTGCAATAAGGAGGATGGAATAATAAGATATTTAGAAAGGGGATTACCTGGGAAAGTGAGAGGGAAGGATGAATTGTGTGGGAGATGATTAAGGGCTGAGCAAGGCAAAGGAGGGAGGAGATAATTGGAATGGGGAACACAATGTGACTTAGGGGCTGTAAAAGGGCCAGTTCCAACTCAGCACGGCAACCCTGTGACCTCTAGGTAAGGTGCACAACTAGACAGGAAGGTGGAGAAGACACACACAGGTTATGGTTAACACGTAAAGTCAGGACAATAGAAGGAGCCCCGCCATTCTCTCGGAATGAAAGCACATGGAGAGGGGTGCATTAGTCTGTGTTCGCCATCCATTCATGAGCAGAATAGTCTTCGCCTCCCTTTGTCAAAGGCTGGCTTATAAAATGATTGCCATTAGCGGGAAGAAAAGGTAAGCATTATCAGGGAAGTTAGGAAAAGATTGAGTCTAGAGTAACTGCAGTGGGGGGGGGGGTCTGTGGGCAAGCCTCTTTGTGGTCCTCGATGTAAGATTTCCGAATCTAGCATCCCATAGAAGAACTAGAGATCCATTATCCAAATACAAGTGTAGGTAACAAGGAGGGAGGGAGTTTAAATTGTAACTAATTTGTGCTTTCTGCAACATTTTGCCCTCCATAAAAATAGTTGTCCTAAGTGAAAAAGCTTATGGTATTATTTGAAACACATGAGAGGATTCATAGCAATGCAAAGTAGTAGACAAAATCTTAATTGAAAAAAAAAATTCATGTTGGGAGTTGCTCTAAATGCCTGTGATTTCCCCTTTTGCTTTCCCTTGTTTGAGATTAGGATTCCTTGCAAGCAGAAGCACAGACCCCCTTCGGAGGGAAGCTGATAAAGTAATTTAGCTGGGAAGGCTTAATGAGATAATGATGCTAAGGCCAGTTAACAACTAATAAGCATGTAACCACGAGGGATGATATTGTTGCTTATTAATTATAATGATGATGTGGAGGAGAGAGACAAGGTGGCACTCACTTAGCCGAGAGTACTCAGGAGTAGGGCTGACTCCCAGAGGCAAAGCTGCCATCAGAGGGCTTTAGAATTAGGTCACCATTTAGCAGCATTTGAAAAGGCATGGCTGCTGGGTTATATGGCCACCATAGACTTAGAGGCCATCCAAAAAATAATGGCAGCTTTCCTGATGGTAGGCAGTGCTGAAGTGCAGTCCTGTGTGACTTCAGGATAGATGCAGCGTCAGACTCCAGGTCAAAGTCTGGGAAGTCATCTTGATGATAATTCTCCAAGTATCCATTCCTGGGAGACAGGCCGGTGTCCAGAATGAACTGGGTATATTCCATGTCGACCCTCTTCCCCTTCACCAGGGAGACTGGTGAGTCCAATGTGGAGTGGACTGGAGCCAGCCAATTGGTTTTCTATTGTAATTGTTGGTTTTTGATTGTTTGTTTGTTTTGTTTTTTCGAGACATGGTTTCTCTGTTCCCTGACTGTCCTGGAACTCTTTGTAGATCAGGCTGGTATTGAATTCACAGAGATTTGCCTGCCTCTGCCTCCTGAGTGCTGGGATTAAAGGCGTGTGCCACCACCGCGTGGTTGTTGTTTTTTTTTTTTTTTTTTTTTTTTTTTTAACTTTGCCTTAGAAAAGAGCTCAGAAGATTTTTCTTTTTTTCTTTTTCTTTGAGGTACCTTATCTGCTGACTTGGCTTTAAGGGTTTGGGTGTTAGTAACTAACCAGTCTCTGTTTCCTCGTTGCCCAGGACGGGAACTGTAGCATCAGCACAGTGCAGACATACCCATCTGTAGCCATCAGAAGGGTAGAGAAATCAAGGCAGGTTGTGCAAGTGGCAGATAAGCAGTTATGGAAAAAGGCATCAGGCTTGTTGGGAATCTTAGGATTCCTCCAGGGAGGCATAGGATCAGAAAACACAGGTCCAGCTTGGGAAAGCTGACTGAGGGCTTTGTAAGGTATTATGAAACTCATCTCCTAATCCCCGTCTGCCCCAACAACTCTGGGTGGGTCCTGGAACCTCAGTTATTGCCTACTTTTTGCTGCATGTTTTTGGTCCACCTCAGCAGTGACAGGGTGATTTTCCACGCCTCCCGGTGCTGTCATTGGCAAAATGAGGGCTATGTCGCAGGATTGGATAGCCGTTATGTGATATGTATATTGAGTGCAGTACACATTATGGTAGTAGAGAATGGCATTGATACCACCCGTTTCTTAAGGGAGATGAATTTCATTTTTATGCAACATGTGGTTTGGAAGTGGCAAGAGGTGAAAGAGTGTGGGTCTGGAAACCGGGACTTGGCTAGTTCTTTCCTTCACATCAGTTCTGTGACCTTGAACAAGTCCCTCCATCTTCTGAACCTTGCCTCCTCATTCATAAAACGAAGGGCTATTGAGGATAATCTTAATAGTTGTAGAGCTATATCCAGATTTATAATTCTGTATTTAGACACTTTATATTTTTAGCTCTGTGAGACCCTTTATGAGAGAGGCAGAGGATCGTTGCTATTGCCTTAAGTTTGGGTTCAGAGAAGGTGGCTCAAG